CAGGTATAGGTACCATACCAGGAGGAAGTCGTTCCCGAGTCCATGATATTTGTCGAAATGCACAACTCTCTGCAACAGAGAAACAAAACCACCTCCTCCCCCCACCCCCCCACCCCCCAACCCCCCCCAGCCCTCGACCAATCAACAGGGGCACCAGCCCACCAAAACACTACAACATAAGTCTCTAATAAAGAGTCTAATTAGTAATAAATTAATAATTAAGATGGTTAGAAACTTAGGATGATGTCTGTCCTTCATCATCGGCAGGACCTCCTCTCGAGTCCTCCGCGCACGCACGGATTCGAACCGGCGCCCTCAGGTTCAAGAGCCGAGATGCTGACCTGTCCGTGTCAGTAAACACAAAATTCATAATTTTTTTTAACAGACTAACGAATGTGCATGGGTCCTGGAGACCAACTCACGCAAGAATGTTCACAGCATGCATCATCTCCATACACAACGAACAGAAGTCTTCACACACTTGGCAAAGAAATAAGAAGAGAACCGAGTTACGCAGCTTATGTTATCAAAAATATGATTACAAAGAGTGACACAGTTCCCTGAGTTCAGGCGCTCATCAGCGCAATACAAATTTCTCATCCAACTCGTCGAGGTAGCTTCTGCACATCAGCGCCACCTCTGCAGATCCTATCTAACTCAGGTAAGTATTCACCATAGCTGAACCTTGCTTGCACACTCTCTGTCTCAGTCCCTCCTTCCTACTATGCATGCACACTCTCTTCTCTCGAGGATCCACTCTGAATGCTACTCATAGAAGACTACTACTAACTCTCTGAGTCTACTACTAACTCGCTAAGTCTACTACTAACTCGCTGGGCAGCTATGGCTGCTTCTCTTCCCAGCGCCCAGTATTCTTCCCTCATCTAGCGCATCTTCATCCTCCAGCGCTACTCCTCCTGGCTGGCGCACAAGTGCTTCAGCACTTCCACGCACAGAAATGCCAGTAGAGATCTGGCGTTGAATGAGGCTGGCTGCTTCCTTTATAGCGCTGGCCTCCTCACGTTGGGTCTGCATTGGCTCATTCAGGCCTTCCTGTGTCCCAGACCCTGCATTGCATGTGTYCCAGTACTGTCCCAATGAGGTCTACTGCTGCTGAGGCCCTTCGGCCTGGATTCTGGATTTGGACGTCTGGATCTGGACGGTTTCTCAGACTTAGACCAGAACTGGGACTCTGTTTATTGACTTACTTTCGAGCAGACACAACTTTGGACGAACAGACACACTTACTGCCTGAACAGACATCTATATTGTGTGAATAGACACTTTCTTGCTGCACGAACAGGCACACTTACTGCACGTACAGACACATCCCTATCTGAACAGACATGACATGTGCATCCCCTGGCGAACAGGTATAACCTTCGGCAATGACCTTTGGCACTGACTTCTTGCTTTAGTTTAGATGTGCCCTTTGACCAGAGAAGTTGACCTTTGATCTGCTTTCACGTTTCCTGGGTCCTGGCGAGATACCCCTTCACGCCGCTTTACTTTTACAAGGCCTGAATCGGGTAAAGGCCCTTCGAAATGCCAAATAGCCTATTCAAATGTCTCCCATCCACTCTTTATGACTACCAAAGCTTTGGCAAGTCCGTTGATTGGATAAGTCTCTGAAGTTTCACTTGAGTAGCTTATCTGATGGCATGATATCTTTCTGGTGATCAGCTCACCCGATTAGATTGCATCTTTCTGCTGATTACCTTATTCAAATCCCCTCCTGATCGGTCTCAAGGCTGCAGGCCTTTGGGGAGGGGAAGGGGGAAGGGGGGGGGATACAGTCCACTGATTCGCCTTTTTTTTTTTTTTTTTTTCCATGTCTCCCACAGTTTTCATGTGTCAAGCACCTGTCGTCCTTTCGTCGTTGCAAACCATGCATCGCCTTCTTTTTGTCTGTTTTTTTTTTTTTTTTGTCCTCTCTCTCTTTTTCTTGGACAGTTTCTCGATGTGTGTGTGTGTCATCCTTGCACAGGGGCCATGCTAATCTTCTTTTATCTGTATCGTTCCAATTTTAACGGATGTCCCGAAGGCTGCCCGGCAATGCAGACTGGGCCAAGCATCCGGGCAAGTTGCCTTGGGGGTCTGAAGCCTGGGGTATGCGGGCTTGGGAATAAGTGAGGTCTATCTTTTTTTTTTTCATTCTTTGGGCAGTGGGAGGTTCTCCATGCAACTCCAGAGGAACACAAATCCAGGCTTTTTTCTCTTTTTGAGTGGGCCGGGGGGGTGGGGGAGAGAGGGAGAGGGGGGGAGGAGGAGAGGGGAGGGGAGAGGGGGCTATAAATTGATTTTGATGGGGCTGAACTGCCGCTAAAGGGGTTTAGTGGGCGGTGGCATAGTCTGATTCCGTTATTTTCTTTTTCATCTTCTATTCAGTGAGGAATTCTGATGTGACCCTCAGTCTGGGGCAAAAAAAAAACAAAAAAAAAAGTTCGTTTGGATTGTGATTTTATCATTTTACCAGGGCTGGGCCAGCAACCGGCCGGATCACCTGCAACGGTCCAACCGGGGCCGGACCGGTCCAGGGAGGGTGAACCAGCCAAACCGGATGGCCCCAAAAAATGGCCAATTTTCTTTTTTTTCTTTCTCTGATTGCTGCATCCGACTCTCGCTGAGATCTGTCGGATTCCGCAATAAAACTTGCAAAGTCAGGAATTTCTTGGAGTTGGGGTGGGGGCGGGGATGGGTTTTTATGGCGGCATCCGACTGCGTTTGCTATGTCTATGGCTGTGGCTCAACGGGGAGGGAAGCAAACGAGGAGGAGCAGCAGCAGCTGCTAAGACGGAGGAGGAGGAGGAGGAGGAGGAGGAGGAGGAGGAGGAGAAGGAGAAGAAGAAGAAGAAGAAGAAGAAGAAGAAGAAGAAGAAGAAGAAGAAGAAGAAGAGGACGGGGAGGAGGAGGAGGAGAAGAAGAGGAGGAGGAGGACGAGGGAAAAAGATGAAGAAGAAGAGGACGAGGAGAAGAACAAATAGAAGAGAGGAGGAGGGAAACAAATGATGAGGATGAGGAGGAAGAGAAGAAGAAGAGGAAGAAGAAGAAGAAGAGGAGGAGGAGGAGGAGGAGAACAAGAAGAGGAAGAGGATGAGAAGGGGGGAAAAAGATGAAGAAGAAGAGGACAAGGAGGAGAACAAGAAGAAGAGGAGGAGGGAAAAAGATGAAGAAGAAGAGGACGAGAAGGAGAACAAGGCGGAGAGGAGGAGGGAAAAAGATGATGAGGACGAGGACAAGGAGGAGGAAGAGAAGAAGAAGAAGAGGAGGAGGAAGGACTAGGAGGAGGAGGAGAAGAAGAAGACGAAGAAGAAGAGGAGCAGGAGGAGGAGGAGGAGAAGAAGAAGAAGAAGACGAAGAAGAAGAAGAAGAAGAAGAGGAGGAGGAGGAGGAGGTGCGCTGGTGGACTTACCTTCGCGGCTATGGGGGGCTGTTGCGACGAAGCGGGCTGGTGGGGCGAAGCAGCTCCACAGAGACATCGATGGCGGGCTGTAGAAGGGGCGCTGGCAGTGGTCGCGTGGTGGCAGCACACGACGTCGACTTGCATGCTGAATGGCACGACGTGAATGTTGTGTGATGTTGCTGTAGCATGGGGCAGGTGGGGCGGAGGGACGGAGGGAGCGCAAAACCACGCCGCAATTCACATGTCAAAACGCGGCTGATTTCGGCCGCGGATCCGCAGGTCTGCGGTCGACATCGACCACGTTTTCAAATTTGAAAACGGGGGCCTCCGGAACCCGTTTTCTTTCGGAAACGCATGGCCGATCTCCACCGTCGATCTGCCCTGATCGGCAGCGGAGATTGGCCACGTGTTCTCAAAAGAAAATGGGGTCCGGTAGTGCCCATTGTTTTTTCACTGGTGGCGGCGGCCTCCCAGAGGCTGGGTGGGGACGGGGACGCCCGAAAATCCCCTGTACCGCCCCCCAAAAAGAGTGCGCCAAATCGAACCGGGGGCCTGCCGGGCCAGTGAGCCGCCCAGTTGGACCGGTAGGCTCCCGGTAGGTTGAAGGTCCCCCGGTCCATCCGGGGACCAGCACTGCATTTTACACAACATATCTTTTTCCCGGGATTTTTTTAATTCTTTTTCCTTTTTTTGCATGCGCTGGGACTTCCCGTAACCCAGGCATTTATCCAGGGCCCAGGCACAAGCTGGGTGCCCGAGCACCCAGAGAAACACCCCAGTCCAAGTCCAAACTAAAAAAAGGGAAAAAAGGAAAAGTGGGGGGAGTTGCTCTCAAGGAAAGTCGAAGAGGAATGTTCTTGGGCAAGCATACCTGAGAATGCACGGCAGGTTTAGCGGCAACCAACTGAGGCGTACTCTTGTTGACACCATCGACGCCCTCCCAGACCTACAGCAGGCGCAGCGACATCATCAAGCAATCAGTTTACTTATCCGATATCAGGCTTCAGCATCACAAGCTTTGAGGCTAACTCAGGCCCGATCGCGATCCAACGCAGGCCAAACACCAGCTCATTGAAAGTTTCGCTGCAGGTTCAGGGAAGGTTCGGTACACAATGAATGCTGTCGAATGCATGTGGTCCAATGTAGGGCCAGGTGATCCGGTTCATTGCAGGCCTGCTGCAGGCTGAACACAGGTTCAGAGCAGGTCCACAAGTGCAGAGTAACTGCAGATTCAACGCAGATTCAGGGAAGTTTCGGTGCAGTCTCATTGCAGGCTCAGAGAAGATTCAGTGTAGATGCAATGCAGGTTTAAAGCTTCAATGCAGGTTCAGTAGATGAAGGTTACAGTGCAGGTTCACCACAGGCTCAAGGCACAGCTTCAATGCAGGTACTGGGCAGGGTTCAATGCACAGGTGTAATGCAAAGCTCAATGCAAGCTCGGTACAGGTTCAATGGAGATTTAAGGTCCATTGAACCTGGGAAGGTTCAGTGCAGGTTCAATGAACCTTTAATGCAGGTTCAACGCAGGTTCAACGCAGATTCAACGCAGGTTCAACGCAGGTTCGGTGCAGGTTCAATGCACTTTCAATGCAGGCACCATGCAGGATCAATGCAGGTTCAGTGCAGGTCCAAATGCAGATCCTGCCGTGCAGGTTCATTGCGGGTACAACTTAAGTCCAATGCAAGTCCAATCCGGCTCAAATTCAGGTCCAATTCCGGCCTAATTCAGCTTCAATGCAGATCCGAATCCAGCTCGAATGCAGGTCCAATTCAGGGTCAGATAAGGGTGGAACCCGGGCCCAACGCGGGCCTAGGTGAGAACTTGGACCCACCCAGATGTAGGTCGGTTTCTCTTAACTGTTAAGCTCAATTAGGATGATTTCCAAACACAGTCGATAACCAAAGCTGTGGTATTTGAATATAACTCCTAAGAGTTACGTTCGGAGGAACAAGGTACAGGTTTGGACACATCTGAACCCATACACCAGATTTGACCACATGCAGACCCATACACGCTATTACATTCACCAGCACCTGGACCAGTACACACTAGATTGGACGACATGTGGACCCATAGACACTGGATTTGACGGCGTCTGAATCCATGCACACTAGATTTGACCACATTTGGAACCATGTACACTAGATTTGACCGCGTCTGGATGCATACACACTAGATTTGACCACATCCGGACCCATACACACTACACTTGACACACGTCAGGACCCGAACGCAGTAGATTTGACCACATCTGGACGCGTACGCTACAGTTCGCTGCATCATACACGCTAGGGTTGGCCACGTTCAGACCCGTACACTAGATTTGACCACATCCAGACCCATACATACACGCTAGAGCTGACCACGTCTAGACCCGTACACGCTAGATTTGACCACTTCTGGACTCGTACACACTAGTTTTGATCACATCCGGATTCCGGACCCATACACACTGGATCTGTCCATGTCTGGTGGACCCATACACTAGATTTGACCACATCTGGAGTCTGGACCCATACACACTACTGGATCTGACCATGTCTGGAGTCTGGACCCATACACACTAGATTTAACCACATCTGGACCCATACACACTACAGCTGGCACGCGTCGGGACCCAGACACAGTAGATTTGACCATGTGTGGAAGCGTACGCCATACGCTACAGTTAGCCACGTCACGTCATACACACTAGCGTTAACCACGTTCAGACCCGTACACACTAGATTTGGCCACATTCGGACACATACACAGCAGATTCGACCAGATGCAGATAGGTGCTACCATCCAAAGCCCAGAAGCTCCGATTATAATCAGGAGAGCACCAACAGAACAAGCTAGGACATGTTGACGATCTACTTTTTCCATCAGGCGTGACAAAGACATGTCAAGAGATTCGCAGAGGAAAGAATATATAACACGCATGCCAGCAACACCGAAATGAGAAACGAATGGAAGACACGTTTGAGTTGTCTACAATAACATTCTTTTTTTTCTTCTTCTTCTTCTTCTTTCTTTCTTTTCTTTTTTTTCTTTTTTGAAGTTTTTTCCCTTTTTTTTCTTTTTTGAAGTTTTTCTTTTCTTTTATCTTCTTTTTTTTTCTTTTGTTTTTTTGGTTCCTTTTTTTCATTTTTCCCCTTTTTTCCCCTTTTTTTAAAAGGGAAATTTATTACACAAATTCACCAATAACATTCGCAACAACAGGTTTGCCAAACTTCTAATAAACTACCTTTTCAAACAAAAACTTCCATTAATCGAACTTAAAAACTGGATAAGCTGATAACTTGTCCGTTCATGCGTCTTCCATACAAGAGACTCCGTCCAGTGACAAAGTCTTCTACACGATGATGACCACGACTACACAGCCGCTGCTGATTCTCTGCCATGCACTCGCACAATTGGGACTGCTTGGAGTCACCATTACACACATACCTGGATTTCCTTCAGCCCCAGTGCATCTGCTATGACTGTTGCAGCCATGTCCCTGCCACCCTATATCATCCCAAAAGCACCCATAACCACCAGAGCCACCCCCCGGTAATCAGTAAGGCTGCGCTTATAAACAGATCCTGCACCCAGCAAGCCAACAAGTTTTGCACGACGGTTTCAAACATTTTGTGTTCAAGAAAGAGCAATAGTAAGGAACCAAGAGCACATCTATGAACAAATGTTAAAAAAAAATTGCAATTTTTTTAAAAATAGAGATGCACGTGACAGACCAGCGCAGCTTCACCCACTTCCAAAGATACAAAATCTGGAAAAGGGAAGGATAGAGAGAGAGAGAGAGAGAGAGAGAGAGAGAGAGAGAGAGAGAGAGAGAGAGAGAGAGAGAGAGAGAGAGAGAGAGAGAGAGAGAGAGA